TGCAGACTGGGCCATGTACAGCCTTCAGGATGTGTCTTGCACCTTCTCTGTTCCACATACAAACTGGTGGAATGATTTTTGAAGTAAAGAGTTTACATCCAACTCCAAATCCTTCTACAGTGTGGGTGTTCAGAATCAGACAGTTGATAGCCCTTTCATTTATGTTCCAGCTGGTGCAGTGCTGGTTGAGGAGGATTTCTACCTCTGTGGAGCTGTCCCTGCTCTGGTGTGTCCTCTCAGCCTTCCTGACTGTTTTGCCTAACAGGGTAGGGCAGCTTTTGGACAGCCCAGGATGTTGGTTCCAGCTCTTAGGGTTGATATTAGAAATGTTAAATCTTTGATTAGGTTATTAGAAATTGTTTATATGGATTTTACACTGCAAACATGTTCTGAGCAGTCAGGGTTTGGCTAGGAACTCTTGGAAAGGAGTCAGGGACAGGCTTCTACAGTCTGTGGACATTGTTTGAAAGTTTCCAGTGAAATTAGTACTTGTTCTTAGTCAAATTATGTTTGCTTGTTGACCCCTCTTATCTAATTAGTTCCTACTTTGCTGATCTGCTTCTACTTGCATGCACTGAATCAGCTATTCCACATTCCTCTTTTACCACTGTAATGATGGCAGAAGTACATTTGAGCTGAGAGATGCTTTCTTTTCTGTGTTGTAACCCCATGCCTTGTGATTTGTGGAGAAATTATTTGTTTTGTTGTGCATCAGCCATCTGTTTGAGGCTGAGGGGAAGGATGTGTGGTGATCTCAGATTGATTAGGTGTTGCTGAGCAGCCAATTAGACAATCCTTGAGGATCTTCTTGTGTCCAAAGCTCGGATGCCCATCTCTTGAGGTTCCCACATCTGCACTGCACAAGCAGCTTCAGGAAAAGGCAGGGTTGTAGCCTCCTGCCCCATGTCCTGCTCCTTCTGTGGCCTCCAGACGTGCTCACATGTGCTTGTGGTGCTGCAGGCAGGCTGTAAAATGAACCAGCCTTGTTTGCTGGGTATATCACAGACCTCTCCTCACACCACTGCCCCATTCAGGGGAGGCTGAGGCGTGCCCAGAGCTGCCTCCAGGGGCACAAACAGCACGGCCACAAGCCTGGCCCTAACAGAGATGCTTTAAGACTTTCAGACTCTCTGCCCTGTAGTGGGGAAGGTGGTCTGACAGGGGTTTGCAGAATGTGTAACTGGGGTGGCTGGGGGGAGTAGGTGACTTTTGGTGGCTTGTGGACCAATGTCAGAGCCAAGACTAGAACCTGGTTCTTGAAATCCCAGGCTCCATTCTCTGTGGCCTACTGTCTCTCTTAACAATGTTTTAATGAAAAATGCAAAATATTAATTTAGAGCAGGATTCAGGAAAAATGTCCCATTCAATTACTTAATCATAGGTGAACTATAATTGTAAGACACAAACATGTCTTGCTACAAAGCACCAGGCAAAAAAGCAGAAAGGATTATTTGTTGTTTAATTTAGCAGAGGAAGGCGGCTGATCATGCTAAGTCTATCTGACACCTAGCAAGTTGTGTGATCCTATTTGTTAATCTTTTTAACTTTCCGTTTTATTAGGATAGGGTTTCCAGAGCAAATAGGATAAATGAGATTAAATCTGTCGCCCTCTCCACTGAGTTATGAACAGAATCTCTCTGTGTCAGAGAAGTATAATTATGAGGGAAATGCTGCCTGTGTAATTGTGTGCTTTGTTTGGAAAAATTTGAGATCCGTAATTATCCCCAGCATGCCATGGTGGCCTGTGCTGGCTCTGAATCTGCAGTAAACAAAGGCAAGGGAAGTTTCTCTTTGGAGCAGTCCTTGATGCAGTATGGCTGGTACCTGCAACATTACCCTGCAGGTCTTCTGGTTCAAGGGAGGGATCCAAATTAACTTGGAAGAGGACACACATTGTACAATTACTTTCTCTCAGAGAAAAATCTGGTGGTGCTCCATTAGGGGATTATACACTGGTCTTGGCTCTATGTAATTCATGGAGCCCTATAAAAGTTGTGGTACCCTTTCTGATATATAATTCCACTGTGAATTGGAATTTGTGTCTTTAACTCATCACCGTGAGATGAGTTAAAGACACAAAACTGTAGCCTCTTGAAATTTTGGGTTCACCAGCCAAAGAAAGTTTTAAATTCTGTGTGCTGTTTGTCTGGATTTGGAACAACTTTCTGTTAGGAAAAAGGAAAGGAAAACTTCAGCTATAGTTGTTCCTATATAATAGGCATAATTGCTGCTGGAAGTAGATCTCCTGCAGAGAGAATATGCACAGAGTAAAAAGAAACTTGCTACAGGTCCTGCTTCAACACTTCTGCAGCTTTCTGCTTGAGGCAGAGGGGCAGAAGTCAGGCTTTCACATGACGGATTAGTGATAAAACAACCTGCTAGGCTCAGATTAGAATTTCTGTCATTTTGCCAAAAATCATATGTGCATTAGTGAGGGGCAAGAAGGCTGCATCATTTTGGTGAATCCTATTGGAATTTTTTTTTTAGATCTCTTTACAGATATGAGCCAGGACTTGATCTCCACATCTGTTTTTATTAGCCAGTCTAGTTTACAAATGAGGCCCCTTTTGTCCCATCTAATTTTATGTAATCTGTGATGCTGCATAACAATTCTGGGAAGAAGAAATGGAAGGATTGTGAGCTGACCTTGTGGCTAGTATGTACAGTGACTCACTCTATTCTTTATTTCAACTTCCGTGAGGTCTTTTCAGATATGCTGTTTACCCATTAAATGAGCTGTGCAGTTTATCTTATGGCTAAAGTTCTACCTAATATTTTGATATATTTGTTTGGAATATGACAAAATAAATCACAAATGAGAATGTTAAAAAATGCTTACATTAATCATCTGAGACAGTCTCTCTCATTATAATCTCGTTCAGAGTAACTAGTTATCTGTAAGAAAGGGTTTCCTGTCCCTTGATTTGCCAACCTACGTGACTTTACTGCCAAGGACATCTCTCCTCCATGCTTGACAAGCAATGGGTAACTTCATAATCTTTCTGTGTAGGCAATTTCTTCATGGGAAGAAATTAAGTCAGTCATGCCCATTACTGAATCTAATTTTACTATAATTTAGAGGGAAGAACTCTTCCCTGAGCAGAATTGATTTTATAACCGCTTACTTCAGGACTTATTTTGCTTTCCTCCAGAGGATGTGGCAGAAACTGTTGTTAGTGGCAGGCCTGCAATTTGCTTGGCAAGGTCACTGCAGCAGCACCTTTCCTGGCAAGTGAGAAACTTGTGCCTTGCTTTGGTTTTCAGTCATCAGCAGCTGCTCTGAGGCAAACTGAGCAAGGCAGCAAGTCAGTATGACCTCACTACTTGTTGAAATTCCACCTTTTGGGAAACATAAGGTTCTTAGGGTAGCTGCCTCCTGGAGTCTACTGTCTTTGGCTGGTTTTTTTTCCTTCTCCCTTAGTCAGCCTGCAGGTTTGGCCCTGGCCACAGACGTGTCTTGCTCGTGGCTTTACAGTTCATTCACCCTGGGTAGGACTTGTCCATCTTTTCCTCACTCCAGGCTAGGCTGAGTGAAGCACACACAAGGAAAGGTCCTTTAAAAAGCAGTTTGCAGCAGTGCAGTGATAAAAACCCAGCTGTGAAGAGGTGGGGAGTGCAAAACAATCTCTTTTTGCCTGCCCACAAAGAAACAGGAGAAGAAAACGTGGTGACTTCCTAACACTGGTCACAAGAGCACATTTCACAGTGTCCCTTCAAGGTCAGTAACACCATTCTCAGCTGTTCAAAACAGCGTCTTGGTAGCAAACCCAGTGCAAATTTGGGGAAGAAGGCTGCTTGCTTGTTGTTTTCTCCTTGTTTGCACAGGCTTCAGCCTGGCAGACAATCAGATCCAACTGTAGATGTAATGCAGGCAAAATACCAAAATTCATGGGCCAGATTTATGCTAATGGCAGCAGGCATTGCTGAATGTCTGCCTGCTCAGCAGCCTTGGGAGAGTCCTTGGCTGTCAAGACAAGTGGAAATCTAAGGAGCAACTCAGTGAGGGGTCCTTTTTTCAATTACATACTTTGACCCACATTCTTCCTTATTTATATTTGCAAGTATTATGAGATTGATCCAATTTTTCTCCTCAGTGGCCCTGTAACACCAAACCTCCTCCTGCAGACAGGAGAAATGCATTTGGTGGGGTGTTCAAAGATTGTGAATGGCTGAGTGAATGCACACTGCTTTTTATTTGGTGAAGCTGCCTGTAAGGCAGGCTCTGTTCTGCCTCATCATGCCCTTCTCTGCTGGTGGGAAGTGTTCTTTGCAGTTTGAACAATTTTCCTCTAATTAACAGGCATTTCCCCATCCTCTTTCCAAAGTCTCCTACTCGTTCTCCTTTACCCTTTATCTTCAATTCCTCTCAGTTACACTCACTGGGTAAGCAGCAAATCTTTCTGGTGCTTCTGTACGTTGTTCACATGGCATATGCCATCTACTTTCTTTTTGATATTGCATTTTCTGCTGACACCTGCAAAGCCTGGTCTGACAAAGCCTTCCCCCAAGGAGAGGTTTTGTAGTGTTGGTTCTGAGTGTTAAAAACCATGGAAGCTTAGTGAGAAGCAAATGTGATTCTCTTTGTCCCTGCTTTGGGGATCAATGGTTTGAATCCTATTGTGCTTTACACCAGGGAAAATTGAAAGTAAGCCCAGCTGCAACAAGGCAGTAGAGAAGGTAAAAGAATTGCAACAATGGGATGAAGCTGCTACACAGAGTAGTAAAACGCCAGGTTGCAGATAAGGCAATAGGGTGGCAAAGCCCTGTGAGCCCTGTGAACAATCAGGGCTTTCTGTGCTCTGGAACAAAGCAGCTTTACAGAGGGTGTTGTTGCAGTGATCACTGAAACTGGCTCCCTGGAAATTTCTGTTACATTGCAAATTCAGCCTTGCTGCATGGCTGGGGTGGCCCAGAGCACTTCTCTGTGTGGTGGAAGTGAGTAGGAACAAACCATGTGTTAAGCTGAAAGAGCCCTCACCCATAACTTTTCTTCTCCACAGGTGCCCCTGGTTGACAAAAGCCATCTCCCCAGCCATCCCAGTGTACAATGGACTCGTTTTCTTGTTTGTGCTGGCAAACTTCAGCATGGCAACTTTCATGGACCCCGGAGTTTTCCCACGAGGTAACAGAAACGGGACTGTTGCAGGGGTGGGGGGAGAGGGGACATTGAAAATCCAATCCAAAGGAGGTGCCAGGTATCCAAACACAGAAGTTGCTGATTAATCTTGTAGACTGTATTTATTTATTTACTGTACTTGAGTGTCAGTAGGGATGGGATGGCAGTGAAATTCTGGGTACCCTCCAGCTCTCTTCTGAGCTCCTGGGTGTCCTCGCACTTGCTCAGGCTGGCACTGGAGGGCACAGGGTTGTGTAGAACAGTTCTCCTTGGATAGCTCTCCTGAGTGATGTGATTTTGATTGCTATCCCCTCTGTCATGCTGGCACACTGGATTTAAGTCACTGTCTTCACAATAGGTAGCAGAGCATGGCAGAGGGGAGAGGCTAAACTTTCTGCAAGTTTCATCAAAGCAGTCCTTCCAGAATACCTTAAAAGAAATGCAGAAGCATTGAACGCTAGAACAGATAATGATTAAGGCTTGCCTTAGGGTGTCTAAAAATGTATACATTTAGAAAGATATTCCTTCTTAAATTAGTACTGATTCACAGCTGATTAAATAGGATAGAGATCACTCAGCTTTTGTAATGGGAACCACAGTGCAGCTATCTCTTTTAACACATCCTAATGAGAGAATTATCACCTCATTTTATCTGTCTTCCAATAATTATTCACATGCAGTTTGCAGCAGAGACTGCTCTAGGCAGTCTGTCTAAACCAATGGATCTGTGCTGTCTGCAAGCTGTGCTTCCTCACCTCTATTCACCAAGTTCAGTGTCTGTTTTGAATTGCTACCTGACAAGAGCAAGGTACCAGTCCTGCTGGCTTCCCTGAATAGCAAGGTAGCTTGGTCTAATGATGAGCATCTCTCTGTCTCTCCTCTCAGCTGAAGCCTCTGAACCCCTGATTAAGTGTTGCAGCACTCCAATTAAGGAAATTATTGTGTGTAAAGGCAGTCTAAGGCAGAGGCAAGATTCAGTCACTTGTGTAAGATCCACTGATACAGTATATAGGTACTTAAAGCTACAAATGCTAGTGACTTTCAAAATAACTTATGCTGGTGGAGTTTTGAGGAGTTTCCTGGACTTGTTAGTTTCTTTATTACAGCAGAGATAGCAGTGGTTATTTCAACATGGAACATTATCAGTCTGAGAATCCAGTGTGTTTGTGCAGGGCAGTCCCTCAGAGAAGAGCTGGACATCACCAGGCCCTGGGAGTGATCAGTGCTGAGTGTATTGTCAGTTCATACCTTCCTCTGGGCTTCTCTAACTTCCTTTTGCAAACAAGTTCTTCATTTTGGACTTTGCATTTATGGAATAAACACACAGAGAGATCAAAAAGAAACTTTCTCATCAGCTTCCCTCCCATCCCATCTCCCTTTACACAAGGGAGTCAGGAGCAAAGCAGGAAGAGGAGGAGTTCCTAAAGTTCACCCTCTACTGTCTTTCACTTTATTTGTGGCCTTGGCCTTGCATCTCTGTGCCTGTGCTTTGTCAGGAAGATGCTGGGAGCAAGGGGAGAGAAAAGACATGGCATTCGTCCTGGGAGAAGGTAATGGAGTAGGAGTTTAGATGTGTGAAGGAAGCAAACTTATAAGGGAAAAGATGGAAAAGACTATAAATACCAGTGCTGGGAGGAAAGAGGAGCAGATGTTATTTCAGATCACAAGTGTGCATGTGAAAAAAAGCTTATCACCACCCCACGCCACCCGCAGAGCTGCCAGCGCAAGGAGTTCAGGAATTGTAGGAGTGACTTAAAATGAATGCACAATCACTCTGTTTGCTTTCTGCTGTTGAAATTAGGTTTAGTCTTCTTGGTTTTCAAGCTTCATAGCACATTTCTGATGGTTAGGAATTTACTTCAAAACCAAAACAACAAATAAGTAGTACAAAAGCTGAGACTCTAATGAAATATCACAATTCCTTAAGGAAGCCACCAAAAATCTGTTAGAAAAATATGAGACTTGGCGGCTCCATGTCAGTGGATCAGTGTATGAGAATCTGTGTAGTAAGATACATTCCTTGTCAATGTATTCTTCTGCTCAGGTCTCTGGAAACTGGAAATAAACACATTTCTAGCTATATTATATGAGCTTGCAGGTCTGGCAGCTAGAACCTGGCCTGTAGGGGGAAATTATAAAAACCCAGCTTGCTGAAGAGCAGCTTAATCAAACTCCCAGATCTGTTACTCCTTTTTTTTTTTTTAATTTCTTGGCTCTCTGAATCTTTCTGGTATGAATCAGTATTGGCTCTGTGTGAGTGAATTTCTGGTAATACACCAGAATGAATGAGTAGGAAAGGAAGTATCAAGTAACTGAAATTGGGGCTGCCTTGAAAAATCTGATTTACAGTCTAGGTTGAGACTGGCAATGTTTTTTGCTGGCTAATCATACCAACTGCAATTGGCTTTCAGTATTTTTGATGTGGATCTGTTTTGTACAAACTCTGTGTTTGAATTCTGCAAAAGGAACATGCTTAAATGCATGTAGGTATATATAATGTACGGACTTTTTGTCACCATTTTTTTATAAGAGTCAGATTTTTTATAAGAGTTTAAATGGTATGACTGTTCCGGTGTCTTGTTTTCTGCCCACATGTATTACACAGCTTGGGCAGGTTTATAATGGTATTGGAGAACCTACAGACTGTATTTATAGAAGTGCCTAAGGGATTTAGAGTCTGGCTCTCTCTAAGAGTCCCACTGACTAGTTAGGAAGGAAAATTATAGGGAATGGTGCCAGTACAGCACTCAGCTTCCACACGCAAACCTTAATCCAGAGAATACTCTTGCAGATAAATGCTGTAGCTGAGCCAGATCCCAAGCTCATCTAGGTGAAGGGAGAAATTCCCTCTGAAGTCAATGGAAATTGGATCATGATAACACATCTAGAGAAGATTTAATATAGAACTGCATGACAGTAATTGATGCTCCTCTGGGACAACATTATCAAATTCCACCTAATTTGGAGCCAGTCAACCAATGGCAGCTGCACTATAATGTTTAACCAGGTGTTAAATAGATGTGAACGTCTTAGATTTTCTGTCAGGAGGAAACAAATAAAGATCGCAGGAATCTAGAATCATATTTTTTCTACCCAGTGTATATTTGTCTGTTACAGACTGGGTTTTATTTTGTGCATTTATGTTTTAATGAACTCTTTTCTTAAACAGGGCAGAGGGGATAAACCATCTGTGTCAGTGTCCCTGTGTCCCGGGCACTGACAGGAGCAGCTCTTTTCTCCTTGCCCTCTGCTACCTGCACTAACTCTCAGGTTTGCCTTGAGCAGCAGACGAAGACGAGGATAAAGACGACGACTTCCGCGCGCCGCTGTACAAGAACGTGGAGATCAAAGGAATCCAAGTACGGATGAAGTGGTGTGCCACCTGCCACTTCTACCGCCCGCCCCGCTGCTCCCACTGCAGCGTCTGCGACAACTGCGTGGAGGTAACGCTGCCGGGCTGGGCCACGCGGGCCGGGCGAGCCCCTGCTCTGGGAGCAGGCTGCTGCCTTGGCCCAGAGTGCAGCTCTGGGGGGTTCACAGCTGCAGTGGCTCCTGCTGAGCACTGCCATTCGAAGCACGGCCCTCAGTTGTGTGTGTGACAAATGCGGCGATGCTCGATGTCAGCCCTGTCGGCAGTGGTGATTAAAGTAAAAATTTATAATGCTGGCTGCGTCTGCCTTGAAGTAGCTGAGGGATTGTGAATGTAAAAAAAAGGGGTGAATGGGAGGGTTGGTGCAGAGTTCAAGAGAGCAAGAAATTCAGGGTGAGCCATTTGAACTTGCCATCTGTGAGCTTAAGGTTCATCATTTAATTTGGAGCAAACTGGTGCCTACATTAGTGGACAAGCAGAGAAGCCACAATGGTGTGTGAGTTCAGGAGAACCCAACTCAGGGTTCAGCAAATGGTTCTCCAGTCAATAGAAGGAGCCCATGTGTTTTTCAACATCCAAGCTCACAACATGAACTTATTCATGTTTCTAATGTTGATTGCTCTGAATTAGGGGACTTTCTTGATTCTTGTTACCCTTAGGGTCTTGGTGAGTCACACAGGTTTTTTAAAAAATAACCCTAAACAGTACGATGTGCTTTTGGGCTATAAGCATCTCCCAGACATGTAGGTACAGAGCACTGTATTCACAGCAGTGTATTGCCAGGGGACTTTTTATTGCTGAGCTAAAAATTCTACTTCTAAGGGATCATTTCTGCTGCAAGGTCTATTTTTTTTTTCAATGGAAAGATGAAATCTTAATATGTCTAAAATATATTCAGCTGTGCCATTAAAATGAAAGGAATTACTAATCAGAAGGGGAAAAAATACCAGAGTCAGCTGGAATGCTGTATACACTACCTTTGTCCTAATCCTCTTTGCCATAAGCAAGGGAATAGTCCCAAAGAGGGTAGCACAGTTACAAGTGAGAGAAAGGCTGCCTGGATTTATCTTGTGTCAGTCATATATCTAAGTTATAATTATCTGGAAGCAGGGCTGTACCTAGTAACCATTGATAAATAGGACAAGGCTGTCCTGTTTTGGAAGGCTTTAGAAGGATGTGGGATTGTGGGATTTTAGAAGCCTGACAGTGAGGAGCTGCTAAGGTCCCTGGGTAGAGGGAAATAGCCACAGTTATTTGTAAGTTGTGACACACAGTTTGTTCAGACTGCTGTGAATTGTTGCACAGAGCTGGATTTTTGGTAGAAAACCTGAATCGTACGTTACTAGTTTTAAAACATAAATGTCTTCACTAATTGTAGGTTCTGAGGATTGTTTAAATGATGGTAAATTCTCAGTTGCCCCATGGAGTTTGTTTCTTCCACCTTCCCCGGTGGCTCAGCATAAAAATTCATTTTCAGGAAATGAAGTTTTCTCAGAAAAAGATTGCTCAAAACTCAGTGGTATAAACACTTGAAGTTTCATGCTGATGTAAGGCCTCCATGGGAGTCAGTTCTGCAGCAGAAATGAAAATGGGAGGGAATCCAAAAGGAACCTGCATAAAATAGCAGAAGGCAAGGTGACTCTGGCTAGCTCTCCACAAGTTCTATTCATAGTCAAGTCAGTTGAATGTTCCCTACTATTCTGGTGCACAAGTAAAGAGCTCTGCTTGTAATTAAATTACTACTGCTGTGGAGGAATGTAGGCAAAAAGTATTAATGACTTCTGAATCAATAAATCATGGCCTTAAACATGTTTTATTGATTCTTGTGATGCTTATTTCCCACTCACCTGTCATATTCTAGAAGAGCTTTGAGACAGTAACAGGAGTGACTCTGCTGGCTTTCCATGTAGGATCCATGTACTCAGGGTTGTACTTCACATATTTTCACTGTCAGTCTAGAGTGTACAATCAGAATTATTTCCCCAAATATAAAAGTTCTGAACCAATTTGATAAAAATAAATAAACAGCAAAAGCAGACAACACTTGCAGAAATAAAACAAATTAAAACTTAAAGCATGCTCTTACCAGAGGGACCCAAAAATAAATCTGTGACAAAAGTAGTCAGATTTTTTTTTCTTAATTGAAATGTTTGCAGTGAGTACTTACATAGTTTCATAATCCATAGGTATTTTGGGCTGCATACAGCCAGATTTGCATAACAGACAGATGTTATGTCAGCATTTCAGATATAGCCTGAAATGGCATTAATATTTAAGTTGCCCCAGTCATTTTCTAATGTGCTTTGAGAACGCTCTAATCCATTTTTTTGTATTTTGTAAATTTTTGGTAAATGCACTGTGCAAAACTTAGAAATACAAAACCCCCTGTGTCATCATTGAGCAGTGCTTAAAAATAGCATTGCCACAAAGTGAAGAATAAACAATTCATTTGTTGGTGCAATGAATGTGTAATATCTGCTCTGAAGAACACAGAGGTAAGAAGGATTTATTTCTTGCACCTGATCTTGTCTTCACGTCAGGAATAATCCCATTGGAGACACTGGATTTACATGCTTACAGAACTGTGTAAAGGCACTTGGAGGGTGTCTGTGGCTTGCCCTCATTATTAAATCTCCTGTTAAAAGGGATCTGACTTTGTAAGGGACTTTGGACTTGTGACTGAGACAAATAGGTTTGGATTCATAACTTAATGAACCTGTGCATAACTTTGCCTCTGTCTGATCCTGCTGTTCTTTTTCTTTGTGACCTGCTTGATAAAAAGGTACTTTGTGATGTCCATTGTTCAAAGGGGACTCATTCAGTGGTGTATAAATACTGAAATGTGGGACAGGGCATTCTGGAGCACTACTGCATCTTCAAACCATTCTAGGTTATAATAACTTCATTGTAATTGACTCATGCTAAGGATGATAAAAAATTAGGGCTTCTGCTGCTAGCAGATAAATAGCCTGTCCTTTATGTTTGATATATCCTCTCTTCAAACCCTATAAACACTCAAGTACCTCTCCATTCATGGGCAGAGAAACAACTTGGTCCTAAAAGGTCTTATAAAAGACACTCAAGCATTTTGTAAAGCTGCAGAACTAGTCTGATGTAATTCTACATGACAGTGGTTCAGATTCATCTCTAAGGCAATGTATTTTCTTTCACTGTTTGGATATTTTTCCCTATCTCTCCCTTTCTTTACAAGGATTTTGACCATCACTGCCCATGGGTCAACAATTGCATAGGACGGAGGAACTACCGCTATTTTTTTCTCTTCTTGCTGTCCTTAAGTACGCACATGGTTGGAGTGTTCACCTTTGGGCTCATCTTCGTACTAAACCATATGGAAAAGCTGGGAGCAGCTCACACTACCATTACGTATCCTTCCTGTTGGTCTTTCCAGACTCAAGGTGACTGAGGAAAATGGGCAACAATGAATCTGGGTATTGTCCTCCAAGAGCTGGTGGAGCCTCTCCTGATCCCCCACTGCTCTCCTCCTCTAAATGCTCAGTGCAGGTTTTCCTCTGTTCCCATTGTACCTGTGTGAGCATGGATTGCTCCAGAAACTGTAGGTGACCCTTTGTCTTTCTCAATCTTTGTCATGACAACCCAGCAGAAGGATGAGCTGCCTCCCTGAATTTAACTTACAAGCAGGTGTAGCTCTCCACTGCTGTTTGCTGTGTTAAAACTCTTGCTGTGCTTTGGAGCAGAGTGTGCTCTGGAAGTAGCCCCCTGCATGCTGGTGTAACACATGAATTGCTGGCTCTGAGGGGTCATACTGCTCTTGATAAGTTAGTGCAGAATATTCTTTAGAAGGTAGAAAGGTAGAGCCAGAATCACTGAGTTCACATTACTTTTAACCATCTCAAGGGTGAGGACCCAGACTAGGAGCAGATGGACTTAACTTTGAGATGAAATTTAGTTAGACCTTGCTAAAGGTGAGGAACACTCTACTCTGCACTCATGAGACCCCACCTGGAGTGCTGTACCAACATCAGAAGGATGTGAAGCTGCTGGAGCAAGTCCTGCTAGAGGAGGCCACGAAGGTGCTCAGAGAGTCCCTGTGCTCTGGAGACAGGCTGGGAGAGTTGATGTTATTCAGCCTGGAGAAGAGAACGTTGTAATGAGACCTTAGAGCCCTTTCCAATGCCTAAAGGGGCTCCAGGGGAGCTGGAGAGGGACTTTGGACAAGGCTCTGGAGTGAAAGGAGAGGGGGAGCAGCTTCAAACTGAAAGAGGGCAAGTTTAGATGAGTTATTTGCATAAAATTCTTCACTATGAGGCCCTGGCACAAGTTGCCCAGAGAAGCTGTGGCTGCCCCTGGATCCCTGTAAGTGTCCAAGGCCAGGTTGAACAGGGCTTAGAGCAGCCTGGAATAGTGAAATATGTCCTTGACAACAGGGGAGTTTGAACTAGGTGATCTTTAAGTGCCTTTGAACCCAATCTTTAAGATCTTTGGTGCCTTCCAACCCAAACCATTCTATGACACTATGACACTCCCCTATTTGTTTTTCTCCTTTTCCTCTCCCTGTCTTTCACAGACTCTTTTTCCCTTCACTCATCCCAGTTTCTTTAACTCTTGGATACAGAATGGCTGTCATGTGTGTGGCTGGGTTGTTCTTTATCCCAGTCATTGGTCTCACTGGCTTCCATATTGTTCTAGTGGCCCGAGGGCGCACAACGAATGAACAGGTAAGAAGCAATCCTTTCTCTGTGTTTGTGGCTGAGGTGTTGAGGTGGGAAGGGAAGTCAACAAGTCAGCTTGGGTAAAGCTAAAGATGGTCCAAATCTTACCAGTAATGCTCTTATTGGAGCTTTTGTGAAGATCTAGGAAGATTGCCTATTTTTTTATTTTCAGATTTTTTTTTAATACACTGCAGACAAAGGTTTCCCCTTTTTAGTCACAGAGCATCACCCCAGGCTTATTTATTATTTCAAATTTACTCATGGCCTTGAAATAGGTTTTATGTGATAAGTACCATCAACCCCAGAAGTTCAAACTTTGAGTCAGACTGAACAATCCATGAGATTGAGTGAAAGAAAGAAAGGAAAAGCATACACTGCAGGCAAAGGTTTCCCCTTTTTAGCCACAGAGCATCACCCCAGGCTTACTTATTATTTAAAATCTACTCATGGCCTTGAAATAGGTTTTGTGTGGTAGGTACCATCAACCCCAGAAGTTCAAACTTTATGAGTCAGACTGAACAACCCATGAGATTGAGTGAAAGAAAGAAAGGAAAAGATGAAATCATTTGCCCTCTCTCCTGGTATTTTGAACTCCCCCAGCAAGCCCTCGCTGCCCATAACAGGGTCTGAGTTAGCTCTTTGTCTCCCTCTGTTCTCGTGCATATGAACTCTCACACACACACACAGAGTGCTGTTGGACCCAGCTTGCTTTGCTTCTCCAAACCAAGTGCCAACATGACACCTTGTGCCAAAAAGCCCGTAAAACTCGAGTTCCCCTGCAGTCACTCACTGTCCATGAGCCACAGCCCCTGTGGTTGATGCAGACCTGCATTCATGTGCACACTGATGGCTTGGTGTGGCTGATAGAGATCAGTGTGATGGCATCAATAGCAGGTCTGCAGGTGTGGCACTGGTCTCAGCCCTCATCCCAAAGTTCATGAACTCTGTGCATTCCAGTGCTTTCCCTTCCACAGCTCCAGCTCCAAAGTGCCCCTCACATCTGGGCTTTTTCACATTTTTTCCCACCATACTTCTTTTCCCTTGTGGTTTGGGTTTTTTTCAGATGGGTTTTTGCTGCCCTTGCCCCCATGGGTGCTCTGCAGCTCCCACTGAGCTGTTTTGGCTGTCCTGGGGGCTGATGGCTCCATGCTGTGGAGCTGTCTGGCTCCTGGGCAGACTGTGAGCGTTGAAAACATCTGTCTGAGGCCAGGCCTTCGTAAACTGAGATGACATTGTCTCCATCCCACAAGAGACAATAAAAACTCTTATCCAGAAGAGTGTGGGAGGTTTACATAAGCAAGGAATCTGAAGTCATCCTGAACAGTTGCCTAACATGGCCTTTGAACAAAGCAAGCTTCCATAGCTGTCGTCTTCAGATGCTTTTCTCTGTCCTGCTCAGAATCATCTGCTCTTCATTTTAAAATTAATTTTGGCCAAGTATTAGATTTGATAGTGCTAACAATAGTAGCATGAAACAAGGGCATTTTGGTCTCATAGCCCAAATCATGGTTTGCCTTAGGCTTGTCTTTATGCAGTGATATAAACTCTCCATGCAAATTTTAGGCTGAAAAAGAAGAAAAAATTTAACTTTAAAAAATGTAAAATTTAATTTCATGTATGTGTGGATCACTAGAATTTGGAAAGGTTGAGGATTTTTCTGTGATCAAAATAACCGTTGGAAAATGTCTCCTAACTTGGTTTGGTTTCCTGAGCTACCAAACCACTTGAGATTTATTACATCTTCCCATGCCATTTTGAAAATTAAATATAATCTGGTCTTAATTTCTGCTTAGTCATATGTAGGGGTTATCTGTAACTGAGGGATGGATGTTCCCAGCCCTGAGGTCCTTTCAGAGGAAGCATATCTAAGTAATTAGAGCACCAGACCAGGAGAGATGGATATGAGATCTGCTCCTGGCTTTGCCACTGTTCTAAAACATTCCCTTTTCTCCTACAGCCTCAGTCTCAGTCGCTTTTCTCACACTGGTAGTTATCTACTGTCAGCTTTGCAGTTGCAATATGCTCAGCTTATCTTGTTCACTTTTCCCAGTATGTTTTATAGGCCAGTGGTACAGACATTTTTGGGTTTTTACTGTAAATTTTTTGGTATTTATTAATTCTGCAGTTTGTAAGTTCTGAGCATTCATAGTAGGCAGACTGTGATTGAAAAGTGCATAGTGGCTGGGTTTAGATGTTTCTGAGCTTTCTGAATGCCTCTGAGATTCTTTTATGGAATGAAAATAACCCGTAACCCAACATCTGCTCATATCCTGGTATTTTTAGTTTCTGAATAGAGTAAATAAATACCCTTCCTTCTTAGGCTGCTTTCTAGCAGTGATTTTCAAACTACTTTAGAAACCAAACTGATATAATTAGTACTTTAATCTGTGAGTTGGAGAAATTTTATTTTCATACTGTGTTTGAGAAAATGGGCACAGAGATATGAAATGCTTTGCCAGCATCTGGCACAATTCAGTGTGAGCCTAGGATTGAATGCAGACATGCCAAATGTCCCAGGCCCATGTTTTCATCAAAAGGTTGCTCTTCCAAATCTCAGATCTTCCCCCCTCTCTCTCTTGGCCTCTTAAAGAGCTTTATGTTATATCAACAAGGCAGCATAATATATTGCAGAATCATTTCATCGTTATTTTATGTGCAAGCTACTAAAGTATTTCTGGTGCTCTGTAAACTTGTTGCTAGATCAGAACTATGAGCTGATTAAAATGCTTTACTTGCAAACAACAACAGTAATGCTTTTAATGGCAACCACCATTAATCTCCCAGGCTTTATTGGTATTTATCCCCATATGGTGACTTTTGAGCATGTGCCTGTAGAGTACAAACTCTTTATAATGCTTATGAAGCCTTGAATGGATCCCGCCAGTCTAATGAGCCTTGGCTTTTATTAAACCTGCTCATTTACAAGCAAACGTTGTAATCACCAGGGAGTTCCTGGCACCCTCCCACATAAGGCAGTGGTTTGTAGTGATTGCTGCTCAGGATGGGATCTGAGAGAGAGGAAACATTGATCTTATCCAGCATTTGGGAATACTGATTCAACTTTGCTGTTGGTTTGGGGGGGACTCGCCAAGGCAGAGGAGGGGAAGTGATGGGAATGAAAGAGACCCAGACAGGATGTCTGGCTGGGAGCAGACACAAATCCAGTGCAGGAGCAGCATGGAGAGGTGAACACATCACTTTGAAACCCAGTCACATTCAGCAATGTCCTTTTGGGAAGGATCTTGAGTTGAGTGCCTCCTAGCTGGAATTAGCTGACAGAGGTGGTGTGTTAGAGCTGGAGAGAAAAAGTGCAGCATTCAAAGAAAAATGATCTGTTTGGGAAGGACAGAAGGGTCAGACTTGTTCTTGGCTTTCTGAGGCTTGGATGATGACTTTTATGTAACCAGAGGTTTGAGCACTGTCCTGAACATGTTTGCAGGTGACAGGGAAATTCCGTGGGGGAGTGAATCCTTTTACCCGCGGATGCTGTGGAAATGTGGAACATGTGCTCTGCAGCCCCTTGGCTCCCAGGTAAGAGAGATGCTCTCAGCTGGGAATGAGGGAGCAAGAGCCCCTGTTGGGACAGGGGAAGAAATGTGCTTGGCTGGGCTCACAAGCCAAGGATCATTGATGGAATAAGAGGAAAGCAAAGCAAAACAGTCCTGAAGGTAGAGCTCTGTGATAGCTGCTTCCCTGCTGCATGGCTGTAATCTGTAATTACCACCTTTATCCCAGAAATATTGTTTTGGAATGAGCTTGTAAAATTATGTCAAGCTCATACCCTTGTCTTCACCAGCTTGTTTATCCAGTGGATTTCAGTAACAAGGTAAATATCCATATGTTATCATATTGCCCACACTACTTGTTATACTGTACAGGCAATGTCCAGTCTGCTGGGGAAAAGGAAGGAAGCTAAAATCAGCCTTTCTCCTTAAGACTTAAATCTAATTTAAGGCTGCTGTAGTTTTCAATCTCACTGGCACGTTCATTATCATAAAACAGATTATCAATGAGATCTACATCACAGAACTTGAGATTTTATTTATGGCTTTCTATTTTTGGGGAAATGGATTTATCGTTTCACATTTTGAAATCAGGATCTTAATGCAGTAGATCAGATGGACTATAAATAATTCTAGGTCCTGAGCTGTCCAGCCTGCAAACGTATTCATAATCTTACTACAAGACTTATTTGAGCCTCTTTAGGGTGTTGAACAAATTCCAGACCCTGACACTCTTATCTGCCTTTTTTTCCCCTTTGTTATACAACAAATAAGTTCTAAAGGACTGTTACATGTGTTAAAGACATTGGAGTAGCTGTTTCTCAAACCTTCCAAAACATAAAAATCAGGTCAAGGTGGATGAGAAGAGCTGGGTATTAAACGCTGTGAGACACTTGTGTTAAGAGAGGGGCTGTGAGTACCATCGTCATGGCTATTCACAGAACTGTAACAAGCAGAACATTTGTGTTTTGTGAAGACCTGTTCAGATTGTTCTGTATATTGAAGGTCCCTGAGCCATCACTACTAGAATGTCCTGTTCACTACATAAAACAGAGAAAGCTTGTGTGTGTATTGATATTAGGCATTGTACAGACACTGGCCAATTGCACTTAGAGAATTCTATTCCAGTGGAGGGAAATTAGATATCTAAAGTCAGCCATTTCCTCTTAGATTTTTTGCTTCCTATAGACTTGGCAGTCTCTTTTACCTCCATTTATTTGAACACTAAACATGAAACAAGTCACCATGTGGTAAGTTAGAACTGGCAGCACATCGTCTTCTCCATGGTAATTCCCCATGTGCTGGGTCTTGTTCCCCATCACTGACTCCCACCACAGGCAGCTGTTTCATGTTAACTGGGATGATGTAGTCAGACACTTCAGTTGGTGGCAGGCCTCTCTTGCTCTCTTCGTGCTCTTGTCCATTAATGCTTCAAGAATTGCTGATTTTTTTAATGCATCCTCTCCTTTCGCTCACTAACTCTTATTTTTTTTATTGCTGCTTAATTATTACACACATTGAAATAAATGGAGGTTCTTACCTAGATTCTGACACATTCTTAAATCATAACCTGGAAGTGGGAAGATTTTTAAGCCTTGTTCTTAGGTTACTGTTTATTTTAATGACGACTGTTGCACCATTAATCAGGTATGTGGTTGAGCCCAAGAAGAAGCAAGCTGTGAGTGTGAAGCCTCCCTTCCTGAGACCGGACTTGTCTGAGCGGCAGATCACCGTGAAGATCAGCGACAACGGCATCCAAGCCAACCTCAACCGCAGCAAGGTGAGGAAAGCTCCAAGCTCTGCTTCTGGAGGGCATGGATTGAGCATTACCAAGCCTGGGAATGAGTCTCATTGACAAATTTCTTTGAGATGATGCAGAAAGTAGAGTTTGAGTCCTTGTCATATACTTCATGCTCTGAAAGTAACACAGGTTCAGTAACAGCAGCTCTTGATCCAGTAACAGGCAGCTCTGGCATGGAATCCCTCTGGGCTTCTTTTGGAAGAGTTGCATGTTCTTTGCAGTAGTTATTTTCTGTTCCAAGAGCTGTCACCTCTTGGTGTTCAAATTAATTTTAATGAACCCTTGTACCACCAGACTAGATCAGCTGTTCTACTTCAGAGAATGCTCTGAGCTTCCAGGCTGCAGGAAGGCTTGTGGTCCAGGGCAAGGAATATTGACTCAGAAGCTGAGTTCTCTTCTCTCCTCTTTTCAGTTTCTCCTGGCATGAATAACAGAGAAGGATTTATTTAGTCCCATAAAAAGTGGTGGATTCAAACATAGCCAACTTGCAAGATTTTTGTAGATAGTTACTCCTTTGGAAGTAGCTTTGGATTGTTGCTTGCTGAGAGCTACCTGGAAAGTTGCTGAAAAATGCTAGAAAGCACTATTGTCTTCTACCACATATTAATTAGCATGATGATTATAGTACTTCGTTTGCCAAGTAGACCAGGATAGTGCATTTAAAATTCTACTGGTTATGACAATGCTAATTTCTCATGTGACAGTCCTTGCCAGCAGTGGATGCTAAATCCCATTTGTCATTATAGGTATAGGTAGTTCTGGTTCTTTGGTATATCCAGCACTCTGCCACATGCTGTTATTTAACAAAGTTTCATGTAAGGATTGATTTTTTTTTATTTTTTCAGTCTAAAATCAGCCTGGAAGGTCTGGAGGATAAGAGTATGGATGTGCAACCACCTCTCCCAGCCAAAGGAGATCCAAGCAAGTACTCTGAGCTAAAAGGGCAGCTGGGCACCAGTGAAGGTATAGTTGCATGATCAGTATTTTATTTTTATTTACAAGAAACTATTTTAGTCGCTTGGAAATGTTTCTTGTATTCTTTCAAAACATGGGATCTGGGTGAAGGATTTTTTTCTATTTATAAGACTTCCAGACTAGGGGAATTAACAGCAGGAAAGGGAGAGAAAAGCCAGCTTGAAGCAGTTTATGCAAGCCTAGGTTGAATTTTTCATGTCAGTTTTACAGTGTTTATAAACTCTTTTAAACCCCTTCTTAAATCAATTTTTTAATTATAAATGTCTAAGGAATCTAAGGAATCAGAAATATTAGCACGCAATTCTTAGGCATTGCAAACTGAATTATGTCATTTGTAAGAATGTGAACTTCATGCTTTGATACTATTAAAAAAGCTTTTTTTTTTTCCTCAGGTAGAACTAGTAGCTGAATCCAACCCAAACATTTAGTATTTCAAATTAGGCAAAATTTCTACTCACCAAAACTTGTCACCCCCCTCAATATATTGTGTCTTGTTTCTTCTTCTCTGTAGATGGCTGATCTGGCAGCAATGTGCTGTAACTGCCGTAGAGACCCCATTGATTTTGGTGGAATGCTACACAAAAGTACTGCAGGTTCTGTTCTCTCAGAACAGATCCGTTTGCAGAGGATGATGGATGGCAGGGAATTACGGCTGACAGCTTTCTGTCCACACACATTTTAATAGAAAGTACTTTTTTGTTTCTTTTGCAGAAGGAGGCCTCTCACCCAAACTTATCAGCCCTCCCACTCCTGCCATGTACAAATACCGACCAGCTTTCAGCAACAATCCCAAAGTGCACTACCACGCCACGGCCGAGCAGGTGAGCGAGCCCGCGAGTTTCTGCTGCCAGCTAGCAGCAGGCATTGTGGAGCTGAGCAGGAATTCACTGCAGGGCTCTAGTAAATTCAGAGTGTAAAAGTAAACAACAAAGCTTGGCACTCTTGTGTGACAGTGTATTATTTTCACTGTGCTCCTTATGGAAGCATGTCTGGTTTCACAGCTTCCCCCTGCTGACACGTCTGTCCCGCTGCCAGGCATGCGCTGCCGCTGCTGCAGTGTCCCAGCCTGATCCTGGGGTGCTGAGAAGTGTCACCTCCCGTTGGCTTCTCCTGGCAGAGGTGCCACCTCACATTCCCTTCAGAGGGAGCTGGGCATGCTGAGTGCTTCTCTGGATCAGACCCTTTAGCCAACACTCAGTGTACTCACTGATTTCTTAAGATGTCAGCATGCAACATAGAAAGAACTTTTGAAGCATCCCAAGAGATATTGTAGTGAAAATTAACAGAAGACTCCTCATGTGTGACCCTCCTTAGCACCTATTCAGTGCATTTGGGTTATTTGGAAAAAAACACCTTCCTAACTCTTGGCATCATTTTCACTTATCAAGAAAGCTGAGATCCAAACAATTACACAGATTTGCTGTGGATTTTCACAGTTTTCTCTTTTGCTTAGAAGTTATGAAACTTATTTCTCATGGGTTTATTGCAAATACTCCTTGGCCCCTGGGACCCGAGAACAGCATTTGGAAAATCACTGGTGTAACTTGTATATTTGCAATGTGTATCCAAGTCTTCACACACCAGTGGAGACACCCTTAAAAAACACACAGCACACACAGTGCAGTTTTCTCAAAATTAATTTCATCAGACCTTCAGTATCACTCCAGGAATAACAAGAATGGGGTTATAGGAAGGAGTATTACGAAAGAAGTAAGGAAAGGAGAATATGGTAGATAAAAGCAATTGACTGTAGCAACACTGTAATAAGACAGAATGTTCTTTATATGATGAGGAAAGCTTTTCCTGAATCCTTCTCATTTTGAAAAGAAAGATGGTGATAGTGGAATTCCAGCTATGACCAAGTTTAAGTTTTAGTCTTACTGCAGTAATGGTAAATCTTATTCTCTGAATAAGATGAAGAAACGAGTGGCTTATGAGAGGGAACACAAGAACAACAGTGTGTTCACTGTATCCAAAAAGTTTAATATCCTATCATTTTCATTTTATTACATGAAAAAATGGCTTGATATCCAGTTCAAAATAGTCTATTTACAGGCATCATCTAGCAATTTTGAGCTGTGGAAGCCACAGCATTCTGAGTCATAATGCCAAAAGTCCGAGAGCCAAGGAAGGTGGGCTTGTTGTGTTCATTGAGGGCACAGCCAGAGATGCAATATAGATACAGGGCAGGTTCTGATTAGGCCAGGGGACTGGGCAGTGCTGTGAAATGATAACAGGGAACAGCACCTTCACTCTGAAGGTTGCTGTTTCAGTCCTAACCCAAAACAGTGCTGTTGCTGTTGCTGACTGGTGTGCAAGCTCTGGGGCCTTGTTCAATTTTACAGTAGTCACAACCAGCTGGGAGTATCATAAAATGGGGTTCACGTGGTGAGGGGATAGGAGGGCATGGATTTGTCTGCCAAGCCTAAGTAGGAGGTACAGAGGGAAAGAGACTGAGCTGTGTGAGGAATGCCATGGTGTCTGTTCTGTATCAGTTCTTCAGCCTGTCAGTGTAATTCTGCTTTTGAGCAGTGAAAGCTGCTAGGAAAGAGGCATTGGGACACAAGGATAAGTAGCACAAATATTCTTAAAAGCTACGTCATTGCTCTCATCCTCCTTTACAGGCTGTCACTTGGTCTCCTTTTTCCAGAGAAGGCCAAATTTAGCACCATGCTCTAGAAGAGAGTGAGCTGTTTTGCATATTTCTCTATCTTCTAGCTGAAAGGAAAAAGCTTTTTAAAAACATCCACAATAAACCAGGTGTTTGTCATTCAGTTTATTTTTTTCAATAGTTTTCCTTTAAAAGAAACTAAGGAACAAGCTGTGCCAACTGCATTTCTGATTAAATATGTGACTGATAATAACTCTTTGTTTGCACAGCCAGTGTAGCCAATTTATTGTGCATTATGGCAAACTCTTCCTTAAAAATAACACCGAAAAATATTTGCTTACCACAGAACGGCATTTTAAGTGAGCAGAACTCTGAGCAATTTTCACAGACTAAAACGAAATGAAGTCCTATCTGTTTTCAGAGCACATAAATAATCTATGGGCTTTGTTTCCTTTTCTGACGTGGCCACTTTCTCCTACACAGGCAATAAAAAAGAGAAAATTGCTTCTTTTCATTGTCTAAATAATGGGAAGGAGCCTCTCTGCTTTAATTAAGGTTACGTGCCTAATTTTAAAGACCTATGACCAGAAATTCAGAATTACTGAATATTCATAGTGCAGAGTAGAGTGGATAAGAGTGTGCTGGTCCCCAGTGTGTTGAAATGAAGCTCAAAGTATTTCTGTCTCAGCACACAAGACCAGACATCCCTCAACTCAAGAGCTATTTGTAGAATGTGAAGTGCAGTGCTTTTTCCAAGGGCAGTATTATCAGATAACAATCTGATTTACCTTGACTGAGACTTGAGTCTCAGCTTGGGTCTCATTCAGTGTTTTCAGTGTCCATGTATTAGCTTACTTTTAATGTCAATATTCTTTTGCACTTGCTGTGAATAACTCCTCCTTGCTTCTAAGGTGCTAATCCATATGTTGAACAGGAGTCAGGAGATTTTTTTGTAACGAACCTGGGCTGACAGTCAGAGGGAAGACCTTCAGCTCTGTCCTTCCCATGCACTCACTGAGAGAGAAAACCTGTACTTACTTACTTCTGTATCTCATATTCACCTCTGTTTTAGATCACCCTGCAGGAGGGACACAGTCAAGGGGCTCTGATAGAAGAGGATGGCAGGAGCCTTGATTACCAGTCCGAACCCAGCTTGGACATCCCCAGCTACCGCAAGAGCTCCCTCCACAAGACCTACCAGTCTTCCCCACTCCAGATAGATTCCTTTGCCATCAATTCACGATCCCTGAGCCTGAAATCTGCTGGCAGGAGAGGGACAGACAAAGTGCCCCTTCATCCAATAAAGTCTGAAGGGGCGGCTTCCACCCCTTACAAAAGCATCTTTTCTCCCAATTCCCTGTCCAACAGAAATGGGAGTCTTTCATATGACAGTTTGCTGAACCCCATGTCTCCCTCGGGGAGGAAGTGCATTGCCCACTCTGCAGTCAGCTCTGTCGGGTACCACTCCCCATATTTGTCAGCCAAAATGTGCCACCTGCGGGGCAGCGAGCTGCAGCGCCAGCCCCCGCAGAGCTTCAGCCCCGTGCTGGGCAGCCCGGCCCCGCATCAGCGAGACCCCTCCCCAGTGCGCTACGATAACCTTTCCAAGACAATTATGGCATCCATCCAGGAAAGGAAAGAGATGGAAGAGAGGGAGAAGCTCCTCCACTCGCACCCTGACTCGGTGTTTGCAGACTCGGGGGTCTATGACACGCCCAGCTCCTACAGCCTGCAGCAAGTGAGCACGCTCTCGGAAGACCCGCGCAGCATGGCCATGAGATACGGATCCAGGGACAATCTGATGGCTGCCACCAGCTTTAGCACAAGGAACCCTCTACTGCAGTCCTCAGTGTCTTCACTCTCAAGTGCAATGACAAGAGCCCCAAGGACTTCCACAACCTCTCTGCAAGCTGATTTAGCCAATAATAATGTGCAGTCCCATCAAGCACTACAGGGCAGGGTCAGCAATGGCTCCTACAAATCCCCAGGCCACCAGGTCCCATCGTCCCCCACAGGGATGCCTAGGTCACCCTCTTACGGAGGCCCGAAGGCTGTGTCATTTGTAAACACTGTGGAAATCACAGAGGTGCAGTCAGTGGGAGCACAGAGGTATGTACTGCTTGAGGGGCTGAGAGCAGTGGGAATCTGCTTGTGAGCAAGGGCTGGAGCTGGAGCTGCGCTGGAGGCACGCCCTGATGAGGTGTTTGCTGTGGGCTATGAGGGTGGGAGGTTTGTGGGTGCTCTTCATTTTTGTCACACCCCCACAGCAACCTCATCATAACAAAATGTTTGCACTTCTACTGTACCTTGAACTGCAGGTGGTCAGTTTTGCTGTAAATTCATAGTGATATGGCGTCATAGCCGAACTGAGAATTATTTCCAAGGTGCGAGGCAGATTATTCCTCCCCTTATGCACAAAAGGGTGGAACTGTTCTACTTTGTAGCTTAAAGGGAGGCTGACCCAGACATTGTGTGGTTACTGGGGCAGAGCTGGGATCCTACTTGTGCAACATACCCTGCAGTGAGGGAAACAGGCTGAGACCAGTCCTGGTGCTTGGCATAGAGAGCTCTGTATTTAGCAGTGTTGAGTGTCCATAGTACAGAACTGCTGATAAAAGCACAGAGCTTCATGGCAGTACCTTAAGGCCTTGCTGCTTCCTTCCTTTCTGTGAGAAAGCATGGAGAGAAAGGATTTGCTGTGCCAAAAGCCTCGGTAACTGCCACCTGAGCCAGATGCTCAGCTGCAGCTTCTGCATGTGCTTCTGTTTTCCTTCTGGAATTCGTGGACCTTGCAAAGCCTGAAAAGATCATGATCCCACTGAGGATGCAGTATTTCAGCTTAGTTGGGACCTGGAGAGCTGCTCTTCAGAAGTATCTGTTTCCTTTGTATCTGGTACTTCCTGTGCTGTGCTGGCCTCTGGTTAAGGTCCCAGGTTTCTCTCTCCTGTTATCCAACAGCTTTGGAAAATGTACTCAAATGTGGGAGAACCATTATTGTAGATCTCCTGAAGTTAAGTGCAAACAAGTTGTTTCAGAGATGAGCAACAAAGTTTACCTGGATATTTAACTGGGAAATGTTTTTTCTGAGAATTTATTTCTGATTTTAAAACAGTTTGGCTTGAGGTCAGTGGTGAGCAGTGGTAACAGTTAAACTCTTCTGCGTCCTACAAATGCCTATGCAATTAGTTTGGAACAACAAAGCATTTAAGCAAGTAATTAAATTAACAAATATTACTCAGGCGTGGTCCACTAACCTAATGGCCAAATTAATTCTCTCATTTCAGTGGCTTTTCATCGAATGCACTGGCTTCAACCAGCTTGCTCCCAGGCTTGAATATTTTGGAGTGCTGGGAACTCAGGGTGACAGGGGTAATTGTTTATTCTGAATGAAACCATTCTGCTGTCACACTTTGTCACTAATACTGCATCTTTTGATATTTCTTTCGATGCAGGGATGACATGCAGTTGAAGACACCTCACAGTAAAATAAATGGACAGCCAAAAGGAATAGCCAGGTTGGGTTCAACATCAAGTTCCCAGGGGACGCCAGTCAGCCCTGCTAGGCACTCTAATGTTAAGAAGGTGTCTGGAGTTGGTGGAACAACCTATGAAATTTCAGTGTAAAATAAAATGAATTAAAAACAAAGAGCCATCCACTCAGCCAGCCATGAAGCTAGGAGCACTGTGAAGACTCAAACAACAACAAAGAAGGAGCAGCAGCAGTCGGCCACTCTCCTTTTCTTGTTTTGGGTTTGTTCTGTTTTCATCTTTCTCTTTCGGCCAAAAACCAGCTGCAGCCTTATTCTTGAGGGAATAATAAAATTGTACAGTCTATCAGACTCTTCCTGAACCGACAGGCGGGAACTGGCTACGACCTAAGACCACCACAGAGAGGAATTCCTTCCTGCAAGAGAGCGCTAAAGCCATTGCGCGCGTGTCTGTCCAACCACTCTGTTGTGTACCACTTGTGCTGTGAAACAGTTCAGTCAGTCGAGGATCAGTCAGTTCTCCCATGCCCCTTCCCAGTTCTTCTGGCCAGCGATGTGTCCAGCAGGAGCCAGAGGACCAACTGCTGTTTTCCTGCTGACATGGAAAGCAGGGTTCCTGCACTGGGCAGGAACTTCTCCTCATCCCCCGGGCACTGCAGTTCAGGTTCCTCCTCCTGGGAAGGAACAAGGCAAGGCCACTTGGGCTGCAGACACCATGTTTTCTTTAAAAGCCTCCCTGGTCCCGGATGGGGGCAGGAGAAAGGATAGCAACAGCTTCTCCCTGTCTGCCATTGGCCTCCCTGTGTGTGAAGTTGTGTGTGTGTGTGCGCGTGTTTGTCTCCATGGAAAAGGACCGCAGCACCGGCGAGGATCTGCCACTCTGACCTCCTGCTCCCTCTGGGTTGGAAAGGCTGACCCAGCAACAAAACCAAGCAGATAAGAAAATAAATGTTCAGATGGAAACATATTTTAAACAGCCATCAGCTGCTTTCTCTGCACCCTCTTACCTGTTGGATTTAGGCAATAACAGAGTTTACTGCCTTGCCCTGGTGCCGTCAGTGTAATCCCACAGCAAGGTTATCATAAGCTGTCGAATTTACAGTGTGTGTAACTGAGCCAAGCGTGCATCTAAAGGATATAAATTTTCTGTCTGCCTAATTACTAGCACATTCCCTCTGGTCTTCAATACTGTTAGACAAAGGATTTTCAATTTGGGTTTTTCCCCCCTGGGGAACAACTTTTTAAAATAATATCAATCAAATCTATTTAACATTCTGAGGTTTCTTTCTCCTGTCTCCAGAAAACTACATTTACTTTGTTGGATTTAAGGACAACTTTACCATAAAAAACAAGAAAGGGGTGCATTACTTTTGTCAAAAATATGAGGACTCTGGCAAAGCTAATTTTGGGACAAATGGATTTTTGTTTCTCTATTCGTTATCTCCTTTTCCTTACCATTCAGTTACCACCTCAGAAGTCAAAAGTACTGAGATCTGGACCAACGCTAACTTGCCAGATCATGTGTGCAATTAAGAATATCCTGAGCGACTGTTGCCAAAGTCACTAAAAATTATAATTTACCACTGAGTCAGTCAGCATACAAGACCTCAACTTCCCACCTGGTTCTCTTGGTGAATAGTTTTGATTAGAGATCTAAATCCATCATTTTTCAGGATATTCCTTTCAAGGGGTTAAATCCTTTTCAGTCCTTGACTATAACGGAAAGCTCTCCAGGTATTTGGTAGCAATTCAGAATGTGTTCATAATATCTTATTTGTTTTCATGTATGTTGAGGTTAATTATTCCAGAAGGCAAATATTGACCTTAATTTTGCCTGGTTAAAATTTATATTTTGATTTGATGAATCTTGACATCTGCTGCAATACATGGTTATTATGTCCCTTGTATATCACATTATTTTTTGGAGACAAAGGTTGAAGAGAACATAAGAAAGTTAATCATCTCTCTGTGTAACGCTCTATGTTGCCTGAAGGAAGAAACGTGGAAAGCAATGCTTCTGCAATAGGCTGAAGCTCTGAGAGAGCGAAGTGAAAATCAGCGTGCATTTTATTGCCTTGGTGGTATTTTCAATGCCTGGTGTAGGAATATTGCAGAGCAGAGAAGCAATAGTCTTTCTGTGCATGTAGAACATTGTCTTTAGTTGGAGGCACCATGGTACCAGAAGGATGCTGGTAAACTGGATCAGGTATAGATGGAGCAATATATATTAAAGAACTGGATGGGCTGGCTAATGAGAAGATTTAAAGGGCTAAAACATGCCACTGACTAAGCAATTAAGTGGAAATTGAATATCGTAACTTTACAAATATGTTACTTAAAAGTTGTAAAACCAAAGGTAAATCCAAGGGTTGTCACTGGTAACCAATGGTCTACATTTAGAATGGGACAGGAAAGATGGAGAGGAAGGGGCAGTGAATAGTCTTCCAAGCAGAGTTTTGGACAAACTGTTTAGGACAGTCAAACTGTATTTGGAAAAGTCATTAAAATTTTTCTTTAAGAGCTGAATCTGTAGGGACAAGGGGTAGACCAGATGGCCTTACAGATTTCTTCCATCTTTAACTGTTATTAATCTGCAGTCTACCCTGATGTTAACTCCTCAGGAAGATGCAGTACTTCTTTAAGGACTGGAATTCACTCTGGTGCATAGAGTATCACAAAATTACTTGTTTTTAAAGTATCATGTATGCCATATGTAAGCCCTGAAAAAGAGGGGGTAGGAAACACATGGGATTAGGGAGTGAGACAAGGGCACATTTTATCATGTATCTTTGAATACGTACATGAAATTCATGCAAGCAAGGCTGAAAATTTGCACCAATGTAATATTTGAGATTTGCATCCCAGTGATGCTCCACTTTGATCATTCTTTCTCTTGCATTTATAAATGAAAAAGCTACTGAGGAACTTGAAGGGCCAAAGAGCCTTTGAAGTTAACTACATTAGTTCATGAGAGAATTTCTCAGTAAGACTAAACACAGTATTGTGTGTATAAAGCACTAATATCCAGGGGTTATTTTGACATAGTTCACAAGGGGTAAGGGAGAAAAAAAAGATGCACTGTGTCAGTACAGGTTCAGCAGTAAGGATGACGTATTTTGTGAGTAGTTTTGCCCACAGTTGAGAGATACTCAACTTTTTCATAGGTTTACAATGGTACCAAAGTTTCTGGTTTTTTTCCTTTTGAGGTTTGCATTTAATTCAGTGCACATAGCCTGGAGTAAATGATTCAGATTTTCTGAAAGAATAATCTAAGCAGAACTGTTAGCAGGAGATTGCATGCAGCAAATCCAGCCTCATTTCCATCCAAGGCACTGAACCTGCAGCTATTTACTCATAAATGTAAGTGTCTGTTCCATAGTTCCTGTTGTGGGACTGGGGACCTATTTATTAAATCTAATTTTTGAGCAGAATCCAGCCCATATTAAGACATAGTTCTTTAAGCAGTTTACAGATCAGCAGTAAGGTTCTTCTGTCAAGACACCCTGTTTTTATGGACACTGCAGACCAAATCTTCAGCTTGTAAAAATTGGTGTGGCTCCATGAAAGCTCATTTAATTGATGCTAATTTATAGTAGGTGGGGATCAGCCATGAAAATCCAGCATGAGTCCTGTAAAGTAGCTTCTTTATTTTTGTCATGTTTATTTCATGTTTCAAAAGTCTTAAATATTTTTGACATGTTTTTATTTGTAGCTGTGGGTTGTATTACTTATTTAAAGAAGAGCAATAGGTTTTTTTTAGTTTACGCATCAGTTTTCATTGCATATTGCATTTTATTATCCGTTTGTTCCCTGTTCATATGCTCCCATTTAGCCTCCAGGTTTTCATTGTAGTACTTTTCTGCCTTGAAAAGTTGGATCTCTATATCTTTAGTTGTATAATATATTGAGTATTATGGAATTAAATGTACCTTACTACATGGGTGGGAGAGAGAGAAAATATTTTTACTTGAAGCCTTAATATTTTCTTTTTTTACTACTTTGTTTGTTGACCTCATAGGAAAGTCTGAATAGCAAAGACTTTGAAACTCCGGGCCAAATACTGCACTGACAGACAACCAGCATTTGGCCCCCATGTCAAAACTGGATGCAGACATAACCTGAAGTGAACAAGGGAAAAAGCCTCAGGGTGGCATATTTTCCTGAAGATCATTAATACAGTCTCAAAACATGTCTGTAAGCAAGTACATTAAAGAAGTCTTCAAGTCTTGAATTTTTAAGGAAGGTGATAGCAGGAACTGCCCTAATATCTTACATCGGCTTTTTTTTTAATTTTTTTTTTTTTAATTAAGCAAAACAAATGTATTTACTCAGTTTGGTTCAGCCAGCTCGGGGGGTTGCACAGAGCTCTGTGTTGGTAGCCATGTGCAGCACATGAGCTGTGGGGTGTTGCTGTTCTAATTCTAACCAAGCGTGATGTTGTGTCAACTCGGCCCCCGAGGATCCCTCCCGGGCCTTACAGTGGACGTTCCTCAGATGATGCCTGCTCTCCTACAAGCCTAATATGGAAATTGCAATGTGGTTTTCTTTGGACTATATCTGTGGTCCAGACTAGAGATATATAGAGAGATATATATATAGTCAATATTTTTTTGTGTGTGTGGGAAAGATGGGGTCAAGCTTTTCTGTCTCTGACAGTCTGGAAAGTTAATGTCGAACCGTTTTTATGGTCTGTATTTCACCTGTTCTGCCACCTTGAATTGTTGGAATGTATCTGTGCAGGCTTTGTGGAGCTCTGTGTGTAACCTTTTTTGTGGCTCTCGTAATACATATATATTTTTTAAACCTTTGAGTCACTTCAGTATTTTCAAGTGTCTGTTTCTGCCTCAGCTGCATTTGGTTGCTGAGATGGTTCACGGTGGGCTGCCATTTCTCACTTCCACTTGTGCAAACCTGAACTGGAAGAGCAGAACTGGAAATGCCAGTTCCAGTGCAAAGGACAAAACTGACAAAATATTAAAAGAAGTGACTGCATGTTAAATCTCATTTTCAAGATGCCTGTGGTAGAGTAGGAGATATGGTGAGTCTTTAAAGGAGTGTCTCCCAGTTGTGACCAATGAATCATGTTTGGGAGGTTACAGCAAGTGGTCCATGAAACAACACTAAATGAAGTTTTATGTACTGTTTATTTAAGTTGTGGGGTTAATAGGGATCCTGTGGTCCAGCACAGTTTTGAATCACTGCCACAGAGTAACTGGAAAAATTTTTATATCGGTATTTGTTGAATACATTCTGTCCAGGTCATGTGGGTTTATAAATCCCAAACATGCGCAATTCTTAATCTGCCTTCATCTGTCTCTCTGTTTCTAGTCTTTGGAAATATGTCCATTTGATCTGTCAGACTGTCTTACAACACACACAGCTGCCAAGCCCTGCAGCTGCTGCAGGATTTTTGATGCCATAATTTGCATATATAGGCTAATTGCATTAAGCAAGGATCCATTCGAGCATGTTCATTATAAATGCCAGTCATATTTGTGTGCTGTTGTGTCTTCACGTGGCAGAGATTACCTTTTATATGAAATGGCCCAAACTGTAATCACCAGGCTCCATGGGTGTTGCTGACATCAACCAGGATTATATAAGGCCATGATTTGTTTCAATACATTTTATTTAAAGATATCTTGGCTTACAGCAATCTCAGCTTTCCTCTCTCTAAGTAATGGGTAAATTATCCAATTTTGTATTTCATTTTTTCATTGTTGTTATTTTTCATTCTGCAGGACAAGTTTAGGTTCACATTTTGGAGCATAATAAGGAGAGACAAAGGAAACTATTTATACAGGTGAATATGTCTTTTAAAAAGAGAGACTCGGTTTTACAATAAATAGATTAGAATTACTGTCAAAATTGGTTTTGTTCATCTTGTTACAATAACTTGAAATTTAACATAAGGCTTATTTCACAGCTGATATCTCTAACCCTGAAACATTTTTTAAATGTTTTAAAACATTTCAAATTATATGATGAAAAATTATCTACTTTTACAGATTAAAACAGTCCTGGAGAAGTGATGGTACATTTTACAGTGCCTTATATGTATATGTATATATTCATATATATATATATAATGCCTATATGTATATAATGTATATGTAACTGTGTACATAGAGTCAGGTAAAACTAGTTACAGGTGTCTCTCTCTGATATATTTTAAATAGAACTGATCTGTCTTGATAGAAAAAAAATGGTTGTAGTAGCACCAAAATACAAAACCAAAATTACTTTTTAAAAATGTTAGCAAATAAAGTAGACTGGAAACAGCGTGTCTGCCAGTGGTTATGTTCCAGGCTATGGAAGACTGGTAGACAGACTCACCATTTTAAGGGATCTTCAGAGAGAAGAGAAGTAGTGCTGGAAGCTTGGAGAAAGTAGAGAATATGTAAGAGCAAATTGCCTTAGATGTTGTGTTGCCATCCTGTTCACCTTTTCCACATCCATTCCCTGTGTGGATTTTTCAGACAGTAATTGACATAGCCTGTCCATTTGATATTGGGTGTAGAATACCCCTGGCCTGGGATGGACAGTGAGCACTCTGGGCAATGCTGGGGTTTAATAACATTTTTAGACTGTTAAGATATTCTGTTAATCTGCTCCTCATTAATGGAAGTAATTTCTGTCTTTGTGGGCATGGGTCAGTTTGATCAGACTACATGGCAGAAGCTCACAACATGGCTTAGGCAGCAGATTCTGCCCAACCAGGAGCTTTTCTAGGGGTTTAGTTGCATTGTAGAAAAAAAGGAGTACCACAGGTAAGTCTTTTGTTTTAAAAAAATATACTCTTTCTGAAATAAAATTCTTTTATGAACATTAGTAATTCAAAAACCTTTCTTTCAGCAGACTTGGTGAAGTATCTGCCATGTAAAAGCCATAAAGGTTGTGTGCTGCTTTCTGAGGTTTATTTCACACCTTTTGACTTCCAGCCTCCACATGGGGCTTGGACTATCTATCTCTTCAATATGGGGTAAGAGCAGGACTTTCAAGGATTTATTTGAGCATTGTCTGTGTGTGTGAAACCCTCCCACTGAGTTCAGTGGTAACTGAAAGAAATAATGGGAAGGATATGTGTGGTTAGCCAGAGAAATAGCAATGCCTGGAACTCTCTAAGGGAAAAGTTGCCTTCCATACAAGTGAAGAATTGTCCTTAGTTAGCACTGTTGTTTTGGAACTAAAGCATGCCCGTGGTTTTGGCTTCAATAAATCTTACCATTGCCCACAGTTAGCCATGAGGACTTGAAGTAGGGCTTTCAGCACTAAAATCACAAGATTTGATACCCCAAATAAACACCGAAACCGAGAATTCCTGTTTTCAGAATAACAATAACATATCGAGCTCATGAGTGCCATGCCTAGCTCACATTGAAATCTTACTTCCCCTGAAATCAGTGGTAGTTTTTCCTTTAATAGTGCCTCATTATACTTGACATGCCATTAGGAGTGGCAGCCACAGGAATTTGCTCTCTGCTGTAGTTCATTGACATTAGGACTTCAAGCCTCTGACTTGGAGCAAATCAAATGCTTGCCATCTTTTTTTTTCTCACAACAGCACAAAGGGAAAAGTGAAATTTCATAAATACATCCATTCTGGAGTCAGCTCTGTTTTTAATGGAACTTCCGTCCCTGCTCCACAGAACAGAGATGGTCTTCATGGAGGGATTTTTGAGTGGCAGGCAGCAAGGAGGAATTTGGGATTGGTGGTGGAGCAGCAGTATGGGCTCTTCTGCCTTCTGGCTTGTCCTTTCATGCAGTGTGCAGGGGACTGGCTCCTGGGCAGTGGTTTCCTCCTGCATTCACTGTTCCCATGGATATGAGGTGGGTGGCTCTTGGTGTGCCAGTTGCACACTCATATATCTTGAAAGCCTCTTTCAGTTACATAGGAGCAGAGCACATGGGGATCTTGGGGTCAGAGCTGACTGTGGAAGCTCATAAAATTGCATTATATTCTGGTTCTAGTCACAGGCACAGGTGGTTTAGCAGAATACAGCTTTGCTGTCAGCTTTTTCTCTTGTACAGTCATTGGAACAGATGGTGAAAGGATTGTTGAGGGCCTTTTTTAAATACAAGCAATGCTACTTTTTCTTAGGAAAAACTCATCTTCTAGAAACTGCAGTGTCTGAGTAAATTCAGTGAGTAACAGCATAATCCATTTTTTGCAGCCTGTATATTATGGATCCATCTGGCCTTGGGATCAGCCCTTATTGTCTCATTGACAGATACCTAAAACAACAGACTTAAAAACAGAGAAGTAAGTAGTTATAAATAGGTAGTACTTGGTTATGACTAATTTTTCGGTCACGCTGTGACACAGTGGAGACAAACTGCTCTGTTGTTGGCCACAATCTCCTCCATCAGAACTCACATGCTTTGCACTGCTGCTGTTGGGAGCTCCTCAGCTTCAGGCTGTGACTCACAGTGGCACAGGTACCAGCCAGATGTTCTTCTCCAAACACGGGCTGCACGTGAGGCACAGGAATGGGCTTCAGGCATTCTGGCTCCAGTTCCTGACTCACTGCAGATTCCTGCTGCCTCGTTTGCCTTTCTGTGCCTCTTTGCTCCGTGTTGGATGGGGATGTGACTTGCTGACTCACAAATGTGTTGTGTTTGTGAGAGGCTCAAGCCCTGCTGTTCTGCCATCAGCTCTGTAGCTGAGGACAGGCAGATGCCTCCCATAGCCACCCTGGAGCAGCAGGGCATATTTGAGACACATTTAGCCTCAAATGAAAGCATCACTTAGGTCATGTACTTGAGGAGGAAGTTTTTGGATGTTTGTGATTGGTGTTTTTGACAATAATCTTGGTATTTCACGCTGACTTTGGCAAGCTGTTTTAGTAAACAGATAAAGACATTTCTGCCTTGATCCTTCCATTGACTCCCTGCATATTTCCATATAACCCAAAGCCTCTGCACATTACCCACACAGCACAATCCTCATTCCAAGGCACCATATGCTTCATTGCCTTAAGCAGTTCTGCTCTCCCCTGCCTGCTTCTTGGAACAGTTGTACGTATATATAATAATATCCAAAATGATGAGCAGAAATGCAGTAAAAGAAATTGGCTGACCTCAAGAAGGGGGGACACTGTGATGTGCTGGTGAGGCACAGAACACATCAAGAGCTGAGTTCCACAGCCATTGACATGTCGTGGGCAGCTGAGGAAACCCAGGCTTTCACATCTCTTGAAGGCAATAACTGAGCTGTTGTGTTGCCATGTGAAAAATGTTATTAATTTCTGTCTTTTTTTTGTGTCTGTTTTAGTGTTATACAGAAGTTCGTATCCATTTATCTACACTGTCAAATTAACAGCACATAAAGCTTGTCAAAGAAGGAATAATGTCTATTAGTGCACAAAATTATTCCTTTTCTAGAATGGTCTTTCACTCAAGGAGCAGGAATAAAATGGAAATTATTAATTCCTGAGATTTTAACACAGGAAAGCACATCCTGATTTAGGGAATGGGAAAAAATAAGTGTGTCCATGTGTAAACAGAAGTTACATGAGTTTGCTTATTTAATAGTAAAGGCAAAAAAAAAAATTGTTTCCACTTAGATTGAACAACAAAATAGCTACATTTTTTAAAACACATAAAAACCTTCATATGAATTGATATCATAGAAATTTAGTATATTTCTCCCTCATTTTAACAGAATTTTTAATGTGGTTCTGTATGAATATTTTCATTTATTTTTGAGAATTATATTTTTATTATATGTACTCAGATTCTAGGGATGTTTATACAGCTTCTGTTTATGTATCTCTGAAGCCTTGGATGCTGCAGGACTGCGTTTCA